ACTGAGGTTCAAGATCATATAATAGTCAATTATCAGCTGTGCCTCTTCCTTCTCATTTTGATTTTACCAGTCCAGGGCGTGCTCCTTCTTCCATGGATGTCTGCACCAGGAAGATCCTAACAGACACTGTAGTCACATCAAGTCTGAGTACAGATTCTCAGGGCTCCAGGAAGGAGATCCACAACAGTCTGCAGTCTTTGGCCATGACCCAGCAAAGAAGTGGCCTTACCGAGTAAGTGTTGAGGGAGATCCTGGATAGGAGACTATCAGAAACATTATATCCTCATTACCGGGGGTACCATGATAGCTTTTCATCCAACTTGAGGATGCTAATATGAAAAATTTTAATTGTGATAAATGAGAATTTTTTTTGTTTAATGTGACCCTCAGATATGTAATAAGTTTTGCTTGCTTCTCACACTTCTCATATGTGTCTTAGACATCTCTCCCACAGAAGCCTAAAATATGTCTCTATAGAATGCTACTGAGCACCACTAGAAAATGAGGGAAGGGGTGGTGAGGTGGAGGAAGAGACTCACCCTAACATCATGTGTTCTATGTAGCCTGTTTCATTTCATTTCACAGGAAGTCTTCCCAATTCCAATGAAAGGAAGAAAACTACACTTTTATGTATCTGCTATCAAGTTATTAGGCAAAAAAGAGTGAAATGGATTTGAATTGGATGGTTCGCAGAAAGATGCTATCCAGGATAATGCTAGAAAGGGGTCCCCTAAGCAGCCCAAGACATGTTGGCACGACAACATTATTTATGTCCCTCCAAAAAGAGACACCTTGATCATTGTGTACTTTTCTTCTTGTTTGTAGATTACAGGACAAAACAGTGGGTGGCCCCTGCTGATCTAGTATAAGAAGGATGGTTACATATCAAGGGAAAACAGCGTAGAATGTGCAGACATAATACTCTGGCACACATCTTCTTTTAGCTCTCTGCAAAATTTTATTGCCAATGTCCCGTATTACCCCTCATTCTTATAAACTGCCTACTTGATCTGAAAAGCAGACATACAGTAAGGTGTTGATTTCAGTTCTACTGAGGAACAGGATAGGGTTCAAAACTGTGCCTCATATGTATGTGTACTTAGGATATCTGCTTGAAACTATGATGGGTATGAAACCATGAAGATCAGGTGGCTAAACTCAGAATATGACAGGTCAGTTTTAAATACTGTTTGCTCCACTTGAATATGCGGTAGGTTGTTAGAATCTCTGAGGCATAGCATTGTCTGAGTTGATTTCTAGTTGACAACTGAGTTGGAGAAGACCTAAACAAATATGGATTCATCATTTGTGATTAATATGAGATAGATTTAAAAATAAGGTGAAGTACAATGGAAATATTATTAATAACGATAATGTTAATTTTCTTGCCTTTCACATAAATATCCTAGAAGTTACTATTTTTCTACTTCTTAAGTGAGAAATTCATTTTTTTTCCTTTTAAAGTACATGCTGTGTGCTTGGAGGGGTATGACTCAGTGATTTGTCTGAGTTTTCAGAGCCTATATATTTTTGGCATATGGGAGACATCTAAAATAAAAACTTCTGTTAAACAATGGATATCACTTTCACTGGTTCACAAAAATTGGTTGTAATTAGTGTAGCTTCAACACAAGTGACATTTCCTTGTCTGAATTAGCATTTCTTTCAGGAACGCCCAAAGGAACAAAGGCAGAAAGTAATAGCTCTTGTCTGTGTCCATTTTGTGTGTCTAATATTTCATTCAAGGGCACTATGCAATTGTTTTAAGATCATAGCAGCTCTGTTCATATTGTCAGAAAAACAAGTACCAAGTAATCTTAAGCCTTCAGCTGTTTCGTTTCTTAAAATCACATCATTCCAGTTTTCCTTGAATTTTGACATTTTCTTCAATGATCCCACTATTTTCATAATAATGGAATTGTTCATTTGAAGAATAATATGAAAAGTTCCAAAGGATCCTTAGTTACTGTTATGATTTGTCTCTAGGTGTCTCCCTGAAATGCTCAGGCAGTCAGTCATGAGGGACAGGCTTTTTTGGAGACAGCCAAATCTACAATTTGTGGCTGATTTATAGTGCAATACTGGGATTAAGGCTGAGTGATTACTGGTCACTCCACTGATTGGACTGGCACCGCTCTAATCCCAGAAGTCTGGATAAGATAAAAGGGCCAGAAAGAGGCTTGTTGCCCCCCTTTAGCTCTTGCTGCTTTTGCTGTCTCCCACTGCTCCAGCCACCAAGAACTGCTGTCTCTCTGTGCCACTCTCATGTGCCACTCTGCCTTGGAGCCAGCTGATTATGGACTGAAACCTCTACAAACTGTGAGCTAAATAAACCTTTCCACCTTTAACTTTGGATATCATATATTTTATGCCAGCAAGGAGAGAAAAGTAAATAAGACAGAATTTGGTAGCAGAAAAGTGAGGTTTTTCCTGTGACTATACTTGACCAAGTGTTTCAGGAGCCTTTGGTAATTAATAGCTGTGGGAAGACTGGAGAGGTTTGGAGAGAGTGCTCAAAAAGGTAGAGCTGGAACACCTTAACATGTTCTGTAAGGGAGAGTATGGTCAGAGCTCAGAGACCCAGACAGCTGATAGGAATCCTGCCAGTAAAGACCAGGCTTAGGAGGTTTCTGCAGTGAAGGACTGCAATGGTTCTTGGGTTCCAGATTATGTGTATTATGGCTTGGCAGAAAGTTTGTCTGCATTTTGCTCATATCTAGAGACTTAGCTTAAGACATAGATGAAAGGTGACAGACTAGCTAATCTCAAAGGCAGAAGAAATCTCAAGGCAATTGAATATTGAGACAGTGACATCACTACTCTTTGGGGTTTTTAGCTAGATTTATGTTGAAAATCAAGAGCAAAGAGTCTAGTGAAATGATTTAAAATGCTGTAGGTTTAGCTAGAAAGGAAGTTCTAGGAAAGCTGTGGACAGTAAAGATAAAGCAGCACAGATCTTGATTGCTGACAAGGAACAGTAGAATAGAAAAGATGGCCTGAGTCCATCAATTAAAATAGCAAGAGCCACCTTTTGCAACCTCAAAATTGCAAAGCAGAAGACTTTGCTTTGAGAAGAAACCGGGGGAGGACCATGTTTCAGAATGGTGGTGGCTGCATCACGTTCCAAAATTACTGCAGCATAGAAAAACTGTTCTTCAGAATTGGATTCAGAGTGGCTAGTAATCCAGGCACTCAACCCTTACAACAAAGAGAAAAGGAAGGCTCACTACTGCTCTGGCTGGAAACAGACCTTGATATCATCCATGTATAGCTGATTTTAAGTGCATGCAGAATGCAAGATTTTTGGGGCCAGAAAATCATCCACAGAGATTTCAGAAGGCCTAGGGAGTCAGGCAGTGTGCCCATGAAAGGGCAGTGTGTGAAGCTGTGAGGGTGAAGCCAAAGGTGCGGTGGAAACCCCAGACGTTTGGAGAAGCCATGAACATATATTGTCTGAGGAAAATTGCAAAGAGGGAGCAGAGTCAACTGAAGAGAAAAGTCATGGGAGCTACAACCACCAGATGTGCCATAGGGCCAGAGCCACCAAAATCCTTTGGAGTTAACATCTTGCCAAAGAGTGCCTCAAATGGGACACATGGAGCTATAGGACTTACTGTTTGCAGACAGCACTTACTATTTATAGGAGCAGATCAGTGCCATGGGGTTAAATATTACTTTCTTGTTTCTCAAACAAGTACACTGACTCTTCTACAGGAGGAAGATGGAAATATTACTCCCTATACAAGATGGAATTCCTTGGCCAATAATCATTCAAAGCTTATTAATATATATCTGAAATATTTTTAACACTGTACATTGCCATTCATAAGTTGTATATAATGGCTGGTTTTTTGAGACAACAAATATAGGCCATGAAATGGAACATACAGCGGTTGATGGAATCCACATATCCATCACTTCCCCACATATTATATAGCTGTATTCATTTCTGTAATAGGAAAATGTAAAAGGATTTTGAAAAGATTGTTGTAAAATGCACTTACTGCTTAAATGATATTTCTGTAGTAATGCACTCAAGCAATGAAATGATTTTACTCCTTCAGGTTCTGCTGTGCATTAGAGCATTTGAAGTCAATGTAGATACTTCACAGAAAAACCTGAAAACTTGACAAAGTAATCTAGTACATTTCAGAGAGCTAGATGTTATGTTGCTGAAAACTTAGAAGAGTTTTAGGTGCTTCATAGGTAAACCTCAAAGAAGCTTCTTATGGATGCACAGTCAATACTGAGATGTATGTTTTGACATTCCAATGCACCCATTATATTCAGTTCTTTGAAGGATCATGATTATGACCATGTATGAAGGGGCATATAACCATGATGAGATAATGAAATGTCAAGTTTTATAGTGGATTACTCAAGTTTCTTTCAAATATTTGGTATGGAGAACATACTACTAAACATTTCTTTTAAAATAAAAAAATTAAAATGTGAGTAATGGGTCTTGGTGTTCATATTTATAAATAATACTAATAGGTCACTTTCTCAGTGCCTGAAAATACTCACAGGTATTAGTTCTCAACCATGATATAGGGAACAACTACCAAGAACTTCTTATGCAAATATTCAGAAAAAATCATTTTTCATCTTAGCAGGCCAGAGAACTCCATAAAGGAGACTGAGATTCACTTTATGCAATTTAAATTATTTAGATAACATTTTTATAGGATAGGAATTATATGATAAATAAAATTGAAGATACAAAAAATGCAAGTGAGGACATCATTAGCAAACAAAGCTACTCATGAAATACAACAAGGTTGAAAACTGAGAGTTAAAAGCATAAAAATTGAGAGTTAAATGGCGTAGAACAATTTATGTTTGCTGATTATGAAGAATGAACCTTAATTTAATGTTTATCTGTAGCCTAACTCTTGACTACTACTTTAAACATTTAAAGTTGAAGCACTTTGCCCCATTGCCTGATAATTGGTGGCTGTTGTTTTCCTTTTTCAACTCTCTTTTTTCCCCCCGAAAGCTGTCCAGCTAATGAACAAGTAAAAAATGCAACACATGTCTCAGAATTTCATCTCATGGGACTCTCAGAAGATCCAAACTTGCAACCAGTTCTCTTTGGACTGTTCCTGACCATGTACCTGGTCACAGTGCTTGGCAACCTGCTCATCTTTCTGATCATCATCTCTGACTCCCACCTCCACACCCCCATGTACTTCTTCCTCTCCAACTTATCCTTAGCTGATGTCTGTTTCATTTCCACCACAGTCCCAAAGCTGATTGTGGACATCCAAACACAGAGCAGAGTCATCTCCTATGAGGGCTGCCTGACACAGATGTCTCTTTTTATCATTTCTGGATGCTTTGATGACATGCTCCTGACTGTGATGGCCTATGACCGGTTTGTGGCCATCTGTCACCCCCTGCAATACCATGTCATTGTGAATCCCCACCTATGTGCCTGCCTGGTCTTGGTGTCTTTTTTATTTAGCCTTTTTTATTCCCAGCTGCACAATTTTATTGCTTTGCACTTTGTCTACTTCAAGAATGTGGAAATTGCCAATTTCTTCTGTGAACCTTCTCAAATAATCAATCTTGCCTGTTCTGATTCTGTTACCAAATACATAGTCATGTACTTCTTTGGTTCCATCTCTGCTTTTCTTTCTCTTTTAGGGATCTTTTTCTCTTACTATAAAATTATTTTCTCCATTCTGAGAGTGTCATCATCAGGGGCAAAATATAAAGCCTTCTCCACCTGTGGGTCTCACCTCTCAGTGGTTTGCTTATTTTATGGAACAGCCATTGGAGTATATCTTCACTCGGCTTTATCACATTCTCCCAGAAATAGTGCAGTGGCCTCAGTGTTGTACACCGTGGTCACTCCTATGCTGAATCCCTTCATCTACAGCTTCAGGAACAGGGATATTAAAAGTGCACTCTGGAGGCTGCAGAGCAGAACACTGTAGTCTCACCATCTCTGCTGTTCTTTGTATAGTTTGTGTTGTGAAATTACTTCATTCAAACCTGCAGACTCCTCCTCTTTAGTCACATTTATTATCTTTTTGAGTCAGGTTTTCACTATACAGTTCAGGCTGGCCTTGAACTCACTTTGTAGCCCAGACTGGCATTGATCTTGCAGTGATCCTCTTGACTCAGCCTCCCAAGTGCTAGGATTATAAATGTGCCCTACCGTATGCAGTGGTCACATTATTCTTGTAGCTACATGGCTTTTATTATGCTCTGTTTCGTATCCAAATGATGACTTAATCTTATTATTTTAAATGAATCTTCTAGAAACTCTTTATCATAATTGTCATAATTATCATGAAAAAATTAATATGAACTAGCAGCTTATGTAGTTTGTGAGATAAGAGCTTGACCTACACATGAAAGGCTAAATTCTCTTTATAGTTAAAATTAGCATTGTTCTCTAAAGTTTACAAATTCTGCTTATAAAAATTCCATCTGAGACATGCATTTAGCCAAGTTTTGTCCAGGGGCTATATCACTGGTGCTACAGTTTATGTCTAGATGTTACCCAAAGCCTCATGTAGTCATAGCTGGAGCTTTTCCAGATGTGGCTGGATCTAGAGTGTGTGACATTGGGATTAATTCATGGTGCAATGCTAAGATGTAGGGGTAGTCCCTACATCTACTAGCATTAAGGGTGTGAGTGCTACATATCCTCAGTAAACTGGGTAAAATGTAAGGGATAGAATGAGTTTTGGTCATCCCTTGTTGTTTTGCTACCTTCTGCCTTCTCTGAACAGTCTCTCCTCTGCCATATCTGTCTGCCACACCACGCTGCCTTGGAGCCAGCTAATTATTGACTAAAACCCTACAAACTGTGAGCTAAATAAATATTCCCTTCTTTAACTTTGAGTGTCATGGATTTTGTCTCAGCAGAGAGAAAAGTAACCAAGACATAATTGGGTATCAGATGTGGGGTCATTACTGTGACTATATCTGACTATGTGGTTCAGGAACCCTTGGGAATGGGTTGTCTGAAGAGTTTGGAATGGTTTGGAGATGTCAGCTGAAAAAAAAGTAGCATTGGAATGTCTGAGGCTGTACTTTATGGGAAATTTTGGTCAGATCTCAGAATACCAGAATGCTGATAGAAAATGCTCAGGAAGTTTCTCCTGTAAAGGACTGCATTGGCTGTTGGACTCCCAGTGATGTGTGTTATGCTTTGGAAGAAAATTTGTCTGTATCTTGTTCATGTCCACTCACTTTGCCTGAGACTGAGATTAAGGCTGGCAGATTTATCTGGCCGAAGGAATTTCAAGGTAATTTAAAGTTGAGGCAATGGAATGGATACTGTTGGGAAATTTCAGCCAAATTTGTGTTGAGAATCAAGACCAAAGATCCCAGCAAAATGATTTAGAATGCTGTGAGTTTGGTCAGAATGGAAGCTCCTGTAAAGTTGTGGCTTGCAAAGATGGAACATACGAGAAATTTGTCATTGAAAAAACTAGCAAGAAAAAAGCCAAGTACTTTAGAAGAGGACAACAGAAACAGTTGCCTGAGAAAAATACAAGAACCAGCGGGACTCCACACTTTGCATCCTCAGAGTTGCATAAGTGAAAGACTGCTTTGAGAGGAGAAGCCAAGAGCACCATGTACCAAAATGATGGCAGCCTAGAAAATTTGTTCCTCAGAATTAGGTTAAGAGTGCTCAGTGATCCAGGCACTCAACTCCTACAGCCAAGAGAGAAGGAAGCCTGGCTACTGCTCTAGCTGGTGGCAGAACATGGTATATCATCCACAGGGTGCTGCTTTTACATGCATGCGGAATGCAAGAGTTGTGGGGTCAGGAGTCTTCCACCCAGATATCAAAAGTTGCAAGAGGCCAATGAATGTGCACCTAAGAAGGCAGTGTGTGAAGCTGTGAGTGTGAATTAAAAGGTGCAGTGGAGATTCCAAAGTTTTGGAGAAGCCAGAAATGTGGATGTCTGGAGAAAACTGCAAAAAGGGAACAAATCCAGTGCAAGAGCAAAACCATGGGAGCTACCACCACCAGAAGTGCTATAGGGGTGGTTGAAGGAATCCTTTGGTATTCACATCTCCCCACTGATTACCTTGGGTGCTGCACATGGAACTATAGGTCTTAATGTGTGCTCTACTGGATTTTTGACTTGCTTTGACCCCATTCCTTTGCATCGCCCATTTGTACCTTTTGGAATGGTAATATATATCTTGTGCTGTTGTGTGTTGAAATTGTTTAACTTTCTTTGCATTTGTACAAGGGCTTGCAGCTAAGAGTTTGCCTTAAATCTCAGAGGAGACTCGGGAACTGGACTTTTTAACAATACTAAAATTGTTAAGATTTTGACAACTCCTAGAGATGGACTAAATGCCCTTTGCATAGAGGGATACTCATGAGTCTTTGGGAGAAATAAGAAAGGAATAAAATTATCATAGTAGCCAGCAACAGCTTTTTTCAACTGTATTTTCCTTCAACACTCAGCAGTTTGTCATTTTAATAGTCTTTTTAATGATGTATATTTTTATTGCAGAATATTCAGGTTTATTATGTTAAATTGCTATATAAGTATAACATATTTTCACTTGCTTTTTGTTGTACCTCTTTCTGTTTGCTCTTCTTCCCCCGATCTGCTTCATTATTTTCACAAGTCTACTAGTTTACTTCTATCTCTACATTATTTATTTTTTATTGCATTTATAAGGAAAAACATGTTTTTATTTAATTTTCTGAATCTAGTTTGTTTCACTTAGCATGATGGTACCTAATTCCATGTAAGTTCCTGCAAATGTCATGATTTAATTTTTCTTCGTTGATCAATAATATTGTGATATATATATATATCATAACATTATATATCA